TTTTGCAACTCCCCACTGTCCCCCCAAATACCTGAGCCAAATCTTGATCCAGCATTGTGCCCAAGAGCAGTGGCACTGCTTTCTCTCTCTCCCTCTCTCCCTCCTCACTGGAAAAACCTTTGGCTCCTGCTGATGTCAATCAAATCCATGACAAGGGAGTGGGGGGGGGGCAGGGCAGCACTATGTGTGTCAATAGATGCAGGATCAAGCCCGCACAAGTGCCCCCAAAGAAAGTGGCTTGCTATGGGGGTATGTAGCATGGAGAAGGAGTCAGGAGTATCACCTGGGGACCCCAAAAGAGAGGGACTGGGGCTGCTCTTTGCTAAACCATTGCACAGAGCAGGTAAGTACATGTTTGTTATATTTTCTTTTTTTTAAAGAGAAAGTTTACAATCACTTTAGGATTTAAAAAATGTACTATTGTTTTCTGGCATTACTATGGCTACAAACAACAAATAACTTATATGATATTGTTGTGAACATCAGGAGTGGGAGAATTTATCTGGGGCTTTCTTGGTAAAGAATTATAGCAATTGCAGGAAATATACAGTTAAAGCATAAAACTATTTTTTTTTATTTGGGCCAGTTTCCTTTGATAATAAAAAAAAAAAAAAATCAGGAAGTATTCATTACCATTTACCACCAAACTTATCCTGAAGGATAAGGTCTCTAAAGGAGACATGCAGCCACACAATGATGTTGTATGGGAGTGTAACACACTGCACTGTTACTGTTTGCAGGATGTTGATTGACCACAAGATGGCAGTGTTCCACAGTTTAGATATTACAGACTTGAGTATAGCAAGGCATTGTTGAACTTGTATGCTGAAGGCAGGACTGCTGTGCTAGGACAGGCTGAAAGCAGACTACATTTCCCAGAGGAGCTGGCGAAAAAGGCAGGAGCCTGTATAACGGGGAACCCGTCAATTTCCAGGAGGGAGGAAAGAGACTGTGTGAGGCTGAGGATGTGTGTAGGATGCTGGTATGGGACTCAGAGAGCCCAGGTCAGATTGGGCCACATTGGAGCGTTGTAAAGAAAGATTACAGCTCACTGGAATTGCTGTCGAACAGGAGAGTCAACCCTGCAGGCAGGGGGATTGTGGAATTGTGACCAGTATCATCTTTGTTCTCAAAGGGACCAAGAGGACAAGGGGACCCCCCCAACCAAGAGACTACTCTTCACTCTTCTAAGACTGCACACTGGGTGAGAGTGTTCCACAACCCAAATTGTCTTCAGTTACCAGAGATCCTGCTGTTTTTTTCTCGGTTATTTCTGTCAGTACACTTTGCATCACAGTCTACCACTCTTGAAACACAGACTTCCTAGCCTAACTCAGTACTGCGGCCTACAGCTTTAGTGTTTCTCCCCCTCCATTGTTCTGAACGCAGGATTCCTCTTGCTGCACATGTGCCTTTGCAGACAGGAATACTGTTAATATCTCACCTTCAATATATTATAGCTGTAAAGAAACTTGCTTCTTCAAGCCAATTCCCCACCTATTGGAATTCAAATTCTACTGGAGTCTTCCCCCACCCCTTTCCTACTATATTAATCCTTTGCCTTCACCCACTTCCATGAAGGGACCTTTTCTAGTTCAGCTTACATCAGTTTAGAGGAAGTTTTTTCTGCTACTGTACCTTTTCTTCTTCAGGAGACTCGGTTACTACCAAAAAGAACTCCAAGTTTGATGTGCACCAACAAGGGCCCTATCAAGCATGCAGACAAAACTGGTTCTATCTTTGGGAGGGGGGTAAGACCAACGAAAGTATTATTACAGTTAATTCCATCTTCTGAGTTGAATCCTTTGTTTCAGTTGCTGAGAACCCACAAGTGAAGTGACTCAACCTTCCCTTGTTCCCTATTTCAGTTTCACTTGGGGAAGAGATATCTCAGGGCTGGAACAAACATTTAAACTCTGGTCCTGCAGGACATTTGGGTATATTTAAACTGGCACTGTGTATGTTCCATTTGACCACAATTGAATGATGGTGCCCTTTTGTATAAGCGCCAACCCCTCACATCATGCAATTATTTTATTAGAAATTAACCCTAGTATGCAAAATCAAAGGAAGCATGTTGCCTGATTTATATTCTCAGTTATATTTTACTGTACCCACTAGCAAGCAAGATGCTACTAGAACTATAGCGAATCTTCTGACTTCTCTCGCCATCACCTGCCACCTCCCAATATGGCTCTCTTGGTGAATTTAGCTATAAATGCCCAGAGGTGACGAGAATAAAGGAAAAAAGCAAAAGGCTATTACAATATGTAAATTAGAGGCCTGGTGCTGACCCCCCCCCCCCCCCCCCCCTTACCCTGCTGTTGTAAGCATCAGTCCACAAGGCCCATTGTGGTACTACAGCACAGGAGGAGGACCTTGCTGGAAGAAGAAGCCAGGAAAAGGGCTGGTTTTCTGTCAGGAGCTTGGTGACTCTCTTGGGAGGACGCATGGAGGTCTGAAAGGATGCAGAGAGGCATGTAAATAAGTACAGGTCTGCTAACCAGCTAGAGGTGCTATCTAACAGGGTTTATGGTGTCAACTTAAAGGCTCTTCACACTGTAAAGGCTTTGTGTGGCTCTGGAAGTCTGTAAGTGATGCTTGGGGTATCTGTAGCCTTATAACTCTCTCCTTGTGTGAAGAGTAATGAAATATCTGGTTAGATACAAAGTGACTGGTGCCCAATGTTTCGTCAGTCTCCCATGTTTAGCCATAGACTCAGTCCTGGGGTGAAATGTTAGTGTACCCTAACAGTGGGCATCCCTCAAATGCCTGTGGGGTTAGAGGGTGCTACAAATAAATAAAAGACGTACTATATAGACTGAAAGACCTGTCTCACTACAGGTGTAAGAACTTTCTCGCAGGACAGTGCAAGTGACATCATATTGTCCCCCGCTTTTCTGCTGGCCCCACTACAGCCAGTTGGTAAGTAAGACTGGAGAAAGAGTTGAATTGTCAGCAATGATACTCCTCCACCTATTAATACAGATCACATTTCTTTTCACTGTACATCTCATTCCCTTTCATATAGTCGGTTTAGTTTCAGCAGTACACTGAGGCTTCTTATGTGTCTGATCTTCATTTCTATGAATCCGCAGACCCATGGCCATGTGCACTGTGTCCTTCTCAGCTTGCACATATCCAGTGATCAGGTCTAGTTTCACTCCCAGCGCTGTACATTCTTCCGCAGCTCATCCCGTGTTCCCAGCATGACTTCACCAAGTGCTATTTATAACGTCCTGGGACTTCCAAGGTACGTGACTAAGCAGAAGCTTCCGGGGACTCTACAAATCAATTAGACAACTGAGTTAAAGGCACACTTCTGTCAAATGGTACATTTCTGTGTTTAAGCTCTGACCACTTGTAGTCATTGGGGGTATGACTGCTAGGTTTGACCCTATGGGAAAAGTGGAACCAGCCCTGTACCTTGAATTTCAAGGTCAGGACTCTGTGCAGGCCTCTTGAGTTCCCCCACTAAACTCATCAAACTCATCATATTGCCTTTGGCTATACACTGTATGTAGGCTTTATGGTTCAAATATTTGGCCATAGTGTAGCTGTCTGCTCCCTATTCAGAATAGCAACCACAGAGGGGAATCTTCCAGCATCAGCGTTTCTCAGCATACATGGTCAACAGGCTTAATGGTGCTGATTTTTATTGTGGAAACCAGAGGTGGGCTAGGCCTTCCGTCCCCTCCCCCCTAAAAACAAATAGAAACTGCCCCAGTCTATAACTGGCCTATGCAGCAAGGAGCACATGGAAGGGCAACGCATGTCAAAAATTCCCAGCTCAACTTACCAACCATACATAAAAGTGGCCACTTACCAACCAGCCTGCAACCAACCAACCAAATTGTCCTGTCTAACAGTTAAAAACGGGTTTAATTTGCACACATTTGCAAATACATGCGTAAGTTGCAGAGCCTCTTCATGGCACCCCAATATTCAGCTCTTAACTCTATAAATTTTGAGAGCCCCCATAGTAGAAGCACATGTATCATAATGAATAAACTGAGGGCAGGTAAGCCTGGAGGGAGCCCACCCCTCTTTAAAGGCACAGGGGTGCACTGGACACCCAGTATATAACACAATGGCAGCCAAGGTGTCCAGTGCATCCCCTCACATATATATCAACAGTACAAACAAATGGCAACTGTCCCAATCTAAAACTGGTCTATGCAGCAAGGAGCTAAGAAAAATTCCCAGCTCAAATTGCTAGCCAGTCTGCAACAAACCAAATTGTCCAAGCAGTCTGTGTTAAACCATCAAGCCATGCCATTGACCATATACTGTAAGTAGGTGATATGGTCAAGGGTTGAAAAATTTGGCCATACTTTAGCTGTCAGCTCCCCATTCAGACCCGCAACCACATAGGGGAATCTTCCAGCATCTGATTTCTTTGCAGCTTTAAGATGTGCTTTGTCAGAATGCCCAGAGCAACAAAAGAAAGATGATGCTGAAAGTTGAGAAAAGAAGTGTCACGATACACCATGTCCTTCATCCAACATACACCAATGAATGACGCAAAAAGGAGCACTTAAAATGCTTGTAAATCCTGATGTCTTTTCCATGTGTTTAGGTTGGGCACACAAACCACAATGAATCTATCTGTTAAACACAGTGAATAAATAGCAAAATACCTTTTTTGTGATTTGTGTAGGTTAACCACATCCCTGCCGCCCTTTAGCAGATATACTGCTAGAGGGCAGCAGGGGTGCGCAAAATCACATGTATATACTGTACATGCTTTTGTACTTCGGGTAGGGGGCGCGCGCCCTACCCGCGCAGCCATTCGCAGCCGCGACTGTCAATCACCGGGTCCCAGCCAGTGATTACCCACCGGCGCCCAGTGATTACTGAGGATCTCTGACAGGGAGGAGGGCTGCTTTGTTTACTAACAGTCCTCCCCCCGTTGGCTCGGGCACACTGCTCTGGTGTCAATATTTTAAAAGAGGTCAAAATCTTTACCAAGTAATTGACCTATTAGTTTAACTTCTATAGTTTGGAAGATACTGGAGAGTTTAATAAAATAGATGAGTTCTTGCTGGAAAAAAAATATTTAAGCAACAGACAGCATGGATTCATGAAAGACAGAAGTTGTCAAACAAATCTGAGCAAAACCTGGACAGAGGGGTGGTGGTGGACATGGTATACATGGACAGAGGGGTGGCGGTGGACGTGGTATACTTGGACAGAGGGGTGGCGGTGGACGTGGTATATTTGGACAGAGGGGTGGTGGTGGACGTGGTATACTTGGACAGAGGGGTGGTGGTGGACGTGGTATACTTGGACAGAGGGGTGGCGGTGGACATGGTATACTTGGACAGAGGGGTGGTGGTGGACGTGGTATACTTGGACAGAGTGGTGGTGGTGACGTGGTATACTTGGATTTTGTAAAAGCATTTGACACAGTTCCCCACACACAGCTAATGTGTAAGGTAAAATCTACGGGCTTGGTTGAACTGGACTTTTGTCTTTTTTGGACTTTGTAAAAGGAGCAGATACTGGTCCTGCTGATGGGTTAAGGACCTTCTACAGCCCTGTCCAGCTCTCCTAGAGTAATTGCCTGTCTCCTGGAATCTCCTCATGCTCTTGATGTGCCATCCTGGAGGAGTTGGACTGCCTGTGTAACCTCTGTAGGGTCCAGGTATGGCCTCATGCTACCACTAGTGACACTGACCCTAACCAAATGCAAAACTAGTGAAAAACAGTCAGAAAAGATGAGTAGGGAAAAAAACATCAGTGGCCTCCACCTGTAAAACCGTTCCTGTTGTGGGAGTCGTCTCATTGTTGGTCATTTAGTGCACCTGTTGTTAATTTCATTAAATTATGGTGACGGATTGACTTCAAGTTTCTCACTGGGACTTTATTTTATGTGGACTTTGTTTCTCATTTTTATTTTATTTTGTATTTTCGATATTTGTATTGATCCTTTTTTGGTCTATGCGCAATTATTTTAGTGGTGCTGCACTTTTGGACCTTATAAAATTATGTCATGTTAGTGTGACCTTTATGTATCATAGAAGAGCTTTAATTCCCATTCAGAGCTACTTTGCAACACATGTGGAGAAAAAAAAATTGGTTTGTGTAATTTGTTAATGGAACAAATTATGTCATCCAAATCATCTGAAATTGTTGGTACCCAGCAGTTTAGCATCTGGGGACAGGCATTTTTTTGCTGTTGTTTGGTTTTTAAGAAAAAAAGTCAAATGGCGTACACATATCACACAACATTAGATCACTTGCAGCAGTGATCTAGTACAGGGGTCATCCAAACATTTCAAAATGTTGGGCCAGTTTATCTGGCCACAAACATTTCCTTTTGCTGTTGTTTTGTTTTTCAGTGGGAGTAAAAAAAAAATTACCCTATCACACAACAGGTATAGATCCCTTTAGCAGTGATCAATGGGAGTATAGGGTCCCCAAACTGGTGTCAATAAAGGGCCAGGTTTACTGGCCATCAAACTTATATGGGAGGTATAGTGCCCCATCGCTGGTGTCAATAGGAGGTATATTGCCCCATCGCTGGTATCAATGGGAGGTATAGTGCCCCATCGCTGGTGTGGATGGGAGGTATAGTGCCCCATCGGTGGTGTGGGTGGGAGGTATAGTGCCCCATCGCTGGTGTCGATGGGAGGTATAGTGCCCCATCGCTGGTGTCGATGGGAGGTATAGTGCTCCATCGCTGGTGTCGATGGGAGGTATAGTGCCCCATCGCTGGTGTCGATGGGAGGTATAGTGCCCCATCGCTGGTTTTGATGGGAGGTATAGTGCCCCATCGCTCGTGTCGATGGAGGTATAGTGCCCCATTGCTGGTGTGGATGGGTGGTATAGTGCACCATCGCTGGTGTCGATGGGAGGTATAGTGCCCCATTGCTGGTGTCGATGGGAGGTATAGTGGCCCATCACTGGTGTCGATGAGAGGTATAGTGCCCCATCGCTGGTGTCGATAAGAGGTATAGTGCCCCATTGCTGATGTCAATGGGAGGTATAGTTCCGCATCGCTGGTGTTGGTGGGAGGTATAGTGCCCCATCATTGGTGTCCATTGGAGGTATAGTACCCCATTATTGGTGTCAGTGGAAGGAATAGTGTCCCTTGCTTGGTGTCAGTGGAAAAATTAGTTCCCCATCTCTAGTGTCAGTGGAAGGAATAGTGTCCCTTCACGGGGGTCAGGGGCAGGAATAATGCCTTTGCATCAGTGGAAGGAATAGTGCCCCAAGGGCTGGATTAAAGCAAGCAAAGGGCCGCATTCAGCCTACAGGTCAAAGTTTGGACTCCCCTGGTCTAGTGTTTTAGGGCGATGCTGGACAGAGTTGCAGTCTACCCGAGCATCTGTACCCAGAGGAAGTGCCATGACATCACACTAGTCGTAAAGACACTGCCAATAAAAGCACAATAAACATTATGTTTACATTGATCTGCTACAATCGCTCCTGTGTGACAAGATCAGAATCTCAGGAGCTGATTGTTAGATTTTCATTCACATGCTCCCTGCAGATAAAGTTATATACCTTTGAAGTATCTTTTGCTTTTCAGTCATTTATTTACCATCATAAATTATTTGTTAGAAATCTTTATCATAGATGTAATGTGTACTGAAGACCAGGGTCGGACTGACAACTCATGGGGCCCCCGGGCAATAGGGGATCATGGGGCCCCTGTGTCCTTGCCCAAACTCAAAAAAGCCTATGAAAAAGGTACCAGGGGCATCTCATGGGGCCCCCTACTGACCCTGGGCCCTCGGGCAATGCCCGAGTTTCCAAATGGTCAGTCCACCCCTGCTGAAGACAAGTAAGCATACTCATGGCCTCAGAAGCTGGCATTGCCTATGTTAGCAAAAATGACTATTGTAAGCATTTTGCCCAAATGTCCAGAAGTGTTTTTATTGAATTTGTTAAACTGATGAACACTCCTCCATTCAAAATTCCTTCAGTTGCACAATGTTTTTGGGTTTCCTTGAAAGAATTGCTTGTTTCCAATCTCCCTACAAAATTTCAATTGGATTCAAATCAGGGCTCTGACTAGCTCAGTCAATGACCATCTATTTAATCTTTCTGTTTCATTCCTTGTTGTGCTTCAGATCATTATTGTATAAAAAAGATCCATTTCTGGTTTAACTTCAACTCTAAAATAGATGGCCTTAGATTCTGATTAGGTACATTTTGATGTGATGCACAATTCATAGTTGGCTTGATGACTACAAACTGCCCAGGCCCTGAATCAGCAAAATAAACCCCAAACCATCCACAACTCTGCCCCCAGCTACATCACCCCTCTGGTCTCAAAATATCAAACAAACCGCTCTCTTCGATCCTCCCAAGACTTCTTCTCTCTAGTTCCCATGTCACCTCCTCCCATGCTTGCCTCCAGGACTTCTCCCGAGCTTCTCCCATCCTATGGAACTCCCTACCCAAATCTGTCTGGCTGTCTCCTAATCTATCCACCTTTAGACGATCCCTGAAAACCTTTCTCTTTAAAGAAGTCTATCCTGTTTCTACCTAGTAAACCACCATTTATTTCCTCCATCAGCTCATCCCCCCCACAGCTATTACCTTTTGTATCACTCAACCCTCCTAGATTGTAAACTGTAATGAGCCGGGCCCTCTGTTTCCTCTTGTACCAAATTGTATTGTAACTGTACTGTCTGCCTTCATTTTGTAAAGTGCTGCGCAAACTGTTGGCACTATATACAGTTGTGTTCAAAAATAATAGCAGTCAGACATCACTAACCGGATCAATCACTGTTTTTGGTAGAAATGATAATTCTACATGACAAATAATTTACTAGGAGGTGTAGTAGAGTAATAGAAATCCAACAGACCCAACAGTCATGACATGCATGCTGCTGATTCTGTGTAATTGAATCACTCATTGAAAGGGGCATGTTCAAAATAATAGCAGTGTGGAGTTCTATTAGTGAGGTCATTCATTCTTTGAAAAACAGGTGGCAATTATTGCCCTTATTTAAGGAAGGAAGGCAGCAAATGTTGTACATGCTGGTTAGTGCATTTCTCTCTCTGAAATTCTGAGGAAAATGGGTCGTTCCAGACATTGTTCAGAACAGCGTACCTTAATTAAAAAGTTGATTGGAGAGGGGAAAACATATAAAGAAGTGCAGAAAATGATAGGCTGCTCAGCTAAAATGATCACAAATGCTTTAAAATGGAAACCAAAACCTGAAAGACGTGGAAGAAAGTGAAAAACTACCATTGGAATGGATAGAAGAATAGCCAAAATGGCAAGGACTCAGCCAACAATCAGCTCCAGGAAGATCAAAGAAGGTGTAAAGTTCCCTGTGAGGACTGTTACAATTAGAAGACGCCTATGTGAAGCCAAGCTATCTGCAAGAAGTCCCCGCAAAGTCCCACTGTTGAAAAAAAGACGTGCTGAAGAGGTTACAATTTGCCAAAGAACACATTGACTGGCCTAAAGAGAAATGGCGCAACATTTTGTGGACTGATGAAAGTAAGATTGTTCTTTTTGGGTCTAGTGGCCGGAGACAGTTTGTCAGACGACCCCCAAACACTGAATTCAAGCCACAGTACACTGTGAAGACAGTGAAGCATGGTGGTGCAAGCATCATGATATGGGGATGTTTCTCATACTACGGTGTTGGGCCTATTTATCGCATATCAGGGATCATGGATCAGTTTGAATACATCAAAATACTTGAAGAGGTCATGCTGCCTTATGCTGAAGAGGAAATGCCCTTGAAATGGGTGTTCCAACAAGACAACGACCCCAAACACACCAGTAAATGTGCAACATCTTGGTTCCAGACCAACAAGATGGATGTTATGGAGTGGCCAGCCCAATCCCCGGATCTTAATCCAATAGAAAACTTGTGGGGTGACATCAAAAATGCCGTTTCTGAGGCAAAACCAAGAAATAGAGAAGAACTGTGGAATGTAGTCCAATCATCCTGGGCTGGAATACCTGATCACAGGGGCCAGAAGTTGGGTGACTCCATGCAACACAGATGTACAGCAGTTCTCAGAAACAGTGCGACTACAACCAAATATTCATTAAGTGATTCAAAGGAAAGCAAAATCTTCAAACATTTTTCAGTTTATATAGTGAATGTTTGAGTTTGTAAAGAAGAATACAAACACTGCTATTTTTTTGAACAGTATAATATTCACTTTTCAATTTCTTAGAGGAACAACACAAATGTGATATATTTTTCTTCTTGTTTTGATTTGGAATAGAATGTGTAGTGTTCCCAATGCATTTGTGTGGATGGAAATAAAAGCTATTAGAAGGATGTTGAGCTTTATTCACTTTTTTCAACACACTGCTATTATTTTGAACACAACTGTAAATCCTGTATAATACAAAAAAAATGTATATTAAAAAAAATAATATTTTTACCACCATGCTTCACGGTTGGTATGAAGTTTTTTTTGTTGAAATTCTGCATTTGGTTTGTGCCAAATGTGTCTACTGTAACAATGAC